AGTAGTAGTAGTAGTAGTAAATCGTAGTAGTAGTAGTAAGTAGTAGTGTAGTAGAGTAGTAAGTGGTAATAGTATAGTCTAGCAGTAGCATTAGTAGCATTTGTAATCGTAGTTAGTCGCCGTAAGTAGTAGTAGTAGTAGTAGTAGTAAGTAGTAACGTCTCGTTCGAAATTATAGTAGTAGTAGTAGTAGTAATGGCGAACTAGTAATTAGTAGTAGTAGTAGTAGTGAGTAGTAGTCAGTAGTAGAAGTAGTATTCGTAGTAGTGGTAGTAGTAAGTAAGTAGTTCGTAGTATTTGGTGTGGTCTTAGTCGTAGGCAGTAGTAGTAGTAGTAGTAGTAGTAAGTAGTAGTATATAGTAGGTCGTAAGGTGGTCTTAGTGGGTATTTGTGGTTTAGAAACAGTAGTAGTAGTAGTAGTAGTAGTAGTAGTAGTAGTAGTAGTAAGTGGTGGTGGTAGCAGTAGTATTAGCACATTCATTGTAGTAAGTGAGTAGTAGTAGTAGTAGTAGTAGTTAGTAGTGGTAGTAAGTCGTAGTCGTAGTATTGGTGGTGGTATGTAGTCGTAGCAGTAAGCAGTAAGTAGTAGTAGAAGTAGTATAGTAGTAGTATAAGTAGTAGTGGTTAAGTAGTAGTAGTAGTAGTAGTAGTAGTAGTGGTGGTGGTGGTAGTAGTAGTAGTAGTAGTAGTAGCAGTAGTCGTACTAGTCATATCAGCAGTAGTAGCAGTAAGTAGTAGTAGTAGTAGTAGTAGTAGTAGTAGTAGTAGTAGTAGTAGTAGTAGTAGTAGTAGTAGTAGTAGTAGTAGTAGTGGTGGTGGTGGTGGTGGTGGTGGTAGTAGCAGTATTAGTAGTAGTAGTAGTAGTAACAGTAGTAGTAGTAGTAGTAGTAGTAGTAGTAGTAGTAGTAGTAGTAGTAGTAGTAGTAGTAGTAGTAGTAGTAGTAGGGGTAGTGGTAGTAGTAGTATGTAGTAGTAGTAGGTAGTAGTAGTAGTAGTAGTAGTAGTAGTAGTAGTAGTAGTAGTAGTAGTAGTAGTAGTAGTAGTAGTCGTAGTAGTAGTAGTAGTATAGTAGTAGTAGTAGTAGTAGTAGTAGTAGTAGTAGTAGTAGTAGTAGTAGTAGTAGTAGTAGTAGTAGTAGTAGTAGTAGTAGTAGTAGTAGTAGTAGTAGTAGTAGTAGTAGTAGTAGTAGTAGTAGTAGTAGTAGTAGTAGTAGTAGTAGTAGTAGTAGTAGTAGTAGTAGTAGTAGTAGTAGTAGTAGTAGTAGTAGTAGTAGTAGTAGTAGTTAGTAGCAGTAGTAGTAAGTAGTAGTAGTAGTAGTAGTAGTAGTAGTAGTAGTAGTAGTAGTAGTAGTAGTAGTAGTAGTAGTAGTAGTAGTAGTAAGTAGTAGTAGTAGTAGTAGTAGTAGTAGTAGTAGTAGTAGTAGTAGTAGTAGTAGTAGTAGTAGTAGTAGTAGTAGTAGTAGTAGTAGTAGTAGTAGTAGTAGTAGTAGTAGTAGTAGTAGTAGTAGTAGTAGTAGTAGTAGTAGTAGTAGTAGTAGTAGTGGTAGTAGTAGTAGTAGTAGTAGTAGTAGTAGTAGGGCGAGGGGTCGGAGCAGGAGGAGGGGGAGGAGGAGGAGCCAGATGAGAAGGAGAAGGGTGATGATGATACTGTGGGTGAGGGGGGTGATGATGATGCTGACAATGGTGGTGCTGCTGCTGATGTTGGTGATCAGGAGGAGGAGGGGGGGGGGAAGAGGATCAGGAGGAGGAGCCGACGGATGAGGCCAGGGCCGCCGCTGCCAGGGAATCTATATTCCCCGAGTGGGGCTGCAAGGACAAGGTGCTGTGCTCGATGTTGGTCGTATGGGTACGGCCGCACGCCTCTTCCCAGCTGGCCCCACAAGGGGGGTGCGGAGGGTGGGAGGCTCCCCCCCTTCTTCCCTTGATCCCTCCCGTTGCACGCAATTAGGGTTTACGGGGGGGAGTGTGTTGATACTGTGGGTGATGGTGGTTGTGGTGATGGCGATCTTGCTATCGCTGCTGCTGGTAGCAGGAAGGAAGGCGATGACGCTGATCATGATGCCGATTAGTCGGATTCTCATACTGACGCTGCTAACGATGGCGGCGATTACTGTGATGCTGGTAATGTCGATGCTGCTGGTTGTGGTTGTGATGACGCTGGTGATGATGATGGTGGTTGTAATGATGTTGACGACGCTGCTGCTAATGTTGATGCCGATGGTGGCACGTGCGGCGGTAATTCTCACGATGGTACTGGTGAGGGCGATGCTGGGGATGACGATGATGCTAATACTGATGATAATGGTGCTGATGTTGGTGATGCTCCTGGTGATGGTGATGCCGCGCTGTTGCTGCTACTGCTGATGATGCTCAGACTGGAGATGCTGATGATGCTGCTGCTGATGATGATGATGATCGTAATGCTGATGCTAATGATGCTGATGCTGATGGAGGTGCTGATGATGATCCTGCTGCTGATGATGCTGTTTATGATGATGCTGTTGCTGACGATACTGATGCCGATGATACTGATGCTGGTCCTGATGCTGATGCTGCTGATGATACCGATGATGATGGGGACGATGGTAATGGTGCGGGTGACGATAGTGACGAAGATGACAATGATGAGCACGATGGTGATGCTGATGACGATGATGATGATGCTGCTGATGATGATGATGATGATGATGATGATGATGGTACTAATGTTGCTGATGGTGATGCTGGTAATGACGATGACGATGATGATGGTGATGATGACGTGGATGATGATGGTCATGGTGATGGTGATGATGACGATGATGACGAGGACGATGATGCTGATGATGTGTATGATGATGTGTATGATGATGCTGATGATGATGATGATGATGATGATGTCGATGATGATGATGATGATGGTGATGATGATGATGATGATGATGATGATGATGATGATGATGATGGTAATACTAGTGCTGTAGATGATGTTGATGATGCTGACGGGAATGCTACTGCTGATGTTGATGATGATGCTGATGCTGATGCTGCTGACGATAACGATGCTGAGGATGATGATGATCATGATGCTGATGATGATGATGATAATGATGCTGATGATGATGATGATGATGATACTGATGCGAATGCCGATGATGGCGAGGACTACGACGATGGTGATGATGGCGGTGGTACCGATGATGACTATGCTGGTGGCGATGGTGCGGATGATGATGTTGCTGATGCTGCTGCTGCGTTTAATGATGCTGATGTTGATGCTGATGGTGATGGTGATGATGAGGTTGATGATGTTGATGATGCTGCTGCTAATTATGCCGATGATACGGATGATGCTGATGATGCTGCTTCTGATGATGATGGCGGTGGTGGTGATGAGAATGGTGTTGCGGGCGACTACGGTGAAGATGCGGTTGATGATGCTGATGCTGATGATGATGTTGCTGCTGCTGATGATGATGGTGATGTTTTTTCTGGATGAGATGATATTGATGACGAGGTGGAGGAGGGCCAGTGCAAACCCAAGGTTTACCAACGATACTGCAATCAACCCTCCCTCCAAGTTCCCTCTTCATCGGCCCCGTTGGAAGACAACCGTCTGAACATCTGGAACCGTGCCAGAGCACCACTCCTGGGACTTCAACGCCGTGAATCACCGCTTTTGTTGCGTCTTGACGCCCTTGAATTGTGCCAGAGGACCATATCTGGGACTTCGGCACAGCGAATCAACTTAACTGTTGTGTCCTGACATGCCGACATCGTGCCAAAACACAATTTCTGGGACGGAAACCTTGACACTGCCGCAAGCTCTTCACAAAACAATGTGCGCGGCGCTAAAGCGAGATCCACATTTTGGAAAGGAGCCGCCCTTCATCGTCCGTGAAGCTCTCGCAATGCTCTCAGACGGAAATGTGCGGCGCTAAGGCGACGGGCACATTTTGAAAGTGGTCCGCTCTCCGTCCTTGGAATTCTCGCAATTGTTTAAGACGAATGTGCGCGGCGCTAAGTCGAGAGCCACATTTTGAAAACGGTCCGCCCTCCAACCGTAAAGGTCTTGCACATTTCAGCTGGCGAAACGCCAAGCCCGCCCTACCAACACGCCTCGGGGTGTGACAGGGAGAGTTATTTATAAGGAGAAGGAGTTGAGGAGGAGGAGGAGGCGGAGGCGGCGGAGAAGGAGGATGAGGAGGAAGAAGAAGAGGAAGATGAGGAGGAGGAGGGAGGAGGGAGTAGGAGGGGGGAGGGGGTGTGAGGATGGGGAGGATGGATGGGGGCATGAGGATGATGATGGGGGAGAGGAGGGGGAGGAGGGAGTCGGAGGGGGGAGTAGGAGGGGAAACGAGGTAAGGAGGATGAGGAGGGGGAGGAGGCGGAGGCGTAGGCGGGAGCGCTCTGATCCCCAGAGCGACGCCCCCGACACTGGTCCTCTGCTCCTGCTGCTGGTCTTGCCGCTGCTGCTGCTCTTCCTACCTCTCCTCCTCCTTTTCTTCCTGCTTATGCTCCTCCTTCTCCGCCTTCTCTTCCTCCTTCTCACCCTCCTACTGCTGCTGCTGCTGATCCTGATTTCCTTCCCCTTTTCATTTGTCTGCTGCTCTGCGTCTTCCCACGCGTCCTTGTCCAGCTTCTGCTCCTCCTCCTCCTCCTCTTCGTTTTCTTTCTTTGTGCCTTCCTCATCCTCCTCGTCGTCGTCGTCGTCCTCCTCCTCCTCCTCCGTCTCGTCATCCTCCTCGCTCGCAGGCTGGCTTGGAGCCAGGGCGGTGTAAGGGCAGGGAGATGTCGGGACGAGGGGGCCGGATAGGGGGGCTGAGTCTGAGGTAACCAGTGAAAGGAGATGGGGAGGGAGGGTGTGCCGTTCGGGCCGCCAGTGGATTCCCATGCCTCCTCTTCGGCCTGTGCATTCTGCTCGTCGTTAACGATCTCGCCTCAACTGGTCGTGGCTCACTGTTCCCCTCTACCCTCTTCCCCTTTCCCTTGTCTTTCTCTCCCCCCGCCTCCCCTTCTCCTTTCCGCTTCCCCTAGCTTCCTCCCCTCTCCCCCTGTCTCACCCCCTTCCCAACCCTCCTCTTGCTCTTTCTCCCTCTGAGCGCTAGCCTGCTGCCAGCCCCGTGCTCTCGATGCGCACATCGTCCCAGCTGACGTCGCACGCGCTCCGCCGACCTCGGCCGAGGCGCACCCGCACCACACGGCCCGCAGGGCCCCGCCGCCCCCGGCACACCCCGTGCGGGCGCCCACCCGCAGACCCCGGGCCCTGGCACCAGCCAGGCGCTGCCCGCTCGCTCCGGGGCCCCGGCGGGGCAGCGGGCGATCCCCCCGTCGGGCCCATCCCCGCCAGGCCGCAGCGTCGGTCTGAAGTGACGGCTCGGCAACCCTCCTCCTCCTCCTCCTCCTCCTCCTCCTCCTCCTCCTCCTCCTCCTCCTCCTCCTCCCTGCGCGGCGTCGGGCCCCCTTGCCCTGGCACCGTGGCTACCCGCGCCACCCCGTGCCACGTCGCCATCCCTGCGCCCCGCTGCCCTTCCACGTGTACACCGTGCAGCCGCAGCTCCAGCCCGCGCATTGGCCCCCCCGCCGCCACCTCGCGCGTGGCCTGCAGCGTGGCGCCGCTGCCCAGCGTGCGACTCCCCAGCCCGTGCTGCGCTGGCAGGAGGGGCTCAGCAGCCTGGCGCCGTGCTTCCAATGCGCTTTACGTCTGCCTTGGGGGTGGCGCCCCCGCTGCCAGCCGCCAGCCCTCCTGCGCGCCGCGGCGCTGGCTCGTCACCTCCTGCTGTGACACCGCGCGCAGGCCCGCCAGGGCTTCACGGCCAGCCCTAGCGCGGCCGCGCCCGCTGCCACCCGGTCCTCGCCGCGCAGCCGCCTGGCGCTTCAGAGGCTCGCGCGCGCCGTCTGCCCTGAGCACCCTGCCTGGTGAGGTGGCCCGTGGGCCGCACTGAAGGTTGAATGCATGAATGCCTGGTCTGATCTAAACGTCGCCTGTCTTGGGCGGCCTTCGCTCCGCGTGGGTTTCGAGACGGGCGCCTGGCCCGCAGGGCCATGTCCCAGACGCCCGCCCCCCCAGGGCACCACGTCTCACCCCCTCAGCCCATCCAGGCAGGCTTCTGGGTAGAGACCCCAGCTCTCCGAGTCGAGCCCCAGCGTGGCGACGATGGGCCTAGCGGCCCACGAAAGCCGATTTGACTGTCACTGTATCCATGGCAGCCAGCTCAGGAGTCCACTACGCAGATCTCCTACCCTAGCGAGTCGCCCTTGAACGAGCCTGTCCTTGAACATATCGGCCAGGGCCTTCGCATCAAGCACTGGCGAACCCAGGAAAACTGGACAAACCTCCGCAGAGCGTTGGAGGCCTCCGTCCTACTCTCCCCGTCCAAGGTGTCAAGGTGCAGCTCCTGTATCAGCATGTCCACCCTCTCCTCCTCGGTCATCGGGTCCATGTTTGCCAGAGGCGTCTGTCGCATCGAGGCCGAGCTCCAGCGTGAGCTCCGTCACGTGCCCCTCGGCGCCGTGGTCGTCCAAGCCCTGCTGCTCGCGGCCGCCCGCGGGCTCCGTGGGTCTGGGTGTCTGCCGCCGGGGTCCTCCGCCCGACGACGCCTGGCCAGGTCGGGCCTGGCCCCTGCGGCCGCGACCAGGTCGGGATCGTTGCGGCGTACAGTCAACCCACATAGTTAGGATGGGCAACCTTCCCAAGGGTACCCTTGCATCCTTGCCTCCTCGGCCCATCCTTGGCCACGCCCCGCTCGAAAAGCTGCGATGTGGCCTTCCAAGACCCTTGCATCCTTATCGTGCGCCCTTATCATGCAGGTTGACTGGAGCTCCGAGGGCCTTTTCCTGTGCAAGCTCTCCGGCACCGCCTGCACCCCAGGCTCCGCCCGCTCCGGCCGCCCGAGGCCCCGCCTTGCTGTGCCCCGTCTCCCTCATTCAAGCTGTGCGCAGCCCGCCTAGCTTTCAGCGGAAGAGGTTCGCTCTCGCCCCGCCGACCAAACAAAAACCATAGCTCCGAGGGCCGCTCACCCATTGGCAGCCCCCAGCAGCCGCTTCTGAGCGCTGGCCCGGCCGTCTTGCGCGTCGCTCAGTAGCTAATTAGGCTGGCCCGTGCCCCGGACCCCCCTCTCGGCGACAGCTTTACGCGTCTGCCCGCGACAAAAAAAAGGGCCGCTCACCCGCCTGGCCACGGCCACGCGGCGATGCCTCCCGGGTCGAGCGGCGCGCGCCGTGAGGCGGAGGTTGCGGCGGCCCCCCAGCTGGCGGCCCAGGAGAGGCGGCCCCGGCGGCCACGCCAGCGGCGGCGCCCCCCGGGGCGGCGCAGTGGTGGAACCGCGCTGGTGTCCACCTCCTCGCCACGTGGCGGCGGGTGCACCAGCGCGCCGAGGGCGGGCTGGAGGTCCCAGCGCGCCTCGAAGTGTTCGCACTCGTCGAGGCTGACGGTTTCGGCGCCGCGTGCCAGCCTTGTAGTACCCCTTTTGCACTCTCCGCTGCCAGCACTCGTTGTCCTTCGGTCCCTTGGCGTCGGATGCTTTCTCCCCCTTCGCCTCCGGAGCCAACTACATGCCCGATGCCCTCTTCGTCTGCGAGCCCGAGGCCTGCCCCTCGAACGTCTTGAGCCGCTGCGGCACCGGGTGCTCGTCCTTCCCCTGCTCCCGGTAGTGGCTCGCCCAGGCCTTGCGGCAGTCGCGCTTGGCCTTGCTGGGCCGCCGGCGCCTGCGGCCCGCCCGCGGGCCCAGCCCCTTCCTCTTGTCCAGCGTGTCTGTTTTGATGTAGGACCCTGCATCTCTCGCGCCGCTGGATGGCGACTCCCTCAGCCCTCAGGAACTTGTCGTTCGAGGTGGCGATGGTGCTCGGCTCCTGCTCGCCGAGCTGGAACGCAGCCTCGGTACCGGGCGGCCGGACCAGCGCCTCCGCGCCTCTGTGTCGCTCGAGTGGTCAGCCAGGCCCTCGCGGCGGACTCCCTGTCCCAGTCCAGCGTCGGGCTGCGGCGCGGCGACATGGGCGGGCATTCTTTTGCCTGCTGCAGCTGCTGCTGCTGCTGCTGCTGCTGCTGCTGCTGCTGCTGCTGCTGCTGCTGCTGCTGCTCCGCTTCCTCTTGCCCTAGGCCCGTCGTCGCGGTGGGCTGCCAAGCGGCCTGGTGCTGCTGGTCGGGCTCTGCCACCAATACTGCGTTGCCCGCGCACACCTGCCTGTCAAGCTCCTCTCGGGCCTGCTCCATGGCCCTCTCCAGCACGTCCTGTATCGCCACCTTGATGGCTTCGAGTGCTGCCTGCTTCACCACGCCCAGAACCAGCCTGCCCACGGAGGCGGATCCCTCCGTGCTCGATGCGGGGCTGGCAGGCCTGCGCGGCATGGTTCCATCAGCTGCCTGGACAAAGAGCTGCACTTAGTGGCCCCACAGGGAGCTCCACCGAAGGCCCCAGCGGCATGGTCCGCATGGCTTGCACGGACCCGTTTCGGGGCACCCCTCACACGTTTCGTGGCCCCGTAGCGAATTCCACCGAAGGCCCTGGCGGCAGGGTCCGCATGGTGTATTTGCGTTCGGATCGGGCCCCCCCCCCCCCCGAAAGCCCCGCGACGCGCGCCAGTCCCCCGCAGTGGTTCCAGCGACGCGCGCGGGCTATCCGCGGCGCGTGGTCCGAAGAATCGGGCGGCCGAGAAGGGGCGGGGCGCCAGGCAGGGCCCGCGGGAGCCAGGCAGCACCTGGAGGCAGAGCCGGGGGGAGTCCGCGCGAGGCGCGCCGGAGGATTCCAGCTGCGCGCGCAGGTCGTCCGCGGCGCGAGGCCACGCAGTTGGGCAGTCGAGAGAAGGCGAGTTTCGGGAGGGCCGTTCCTCAAGTCAGCCCTCGCGGATCAGCCCAGTGAAGCCCAGCCCCTCGACGAGGCCGTCGCCGAAGTAAGGAGAGCCCTTTCGCGCCCATGTCCGTCTTTCTCCCGCCGACGCCCCAATCCTCGTGCCAGACCCTCTCCTTCCTTTCACCTGCCTCGCGACGCTCGCAGCTGCATATGTTTGGGTCTTTTACCAGGACAAAGATGACATTGAGTTGTCTTCAAATCGTATTTCGCTGATCGGTTCTTTGCTTTCTCTCCGAACCACCGTCCGTTTCCCTCCTCCTCCTCCTCCTTTCCTCCCGTCTCCTCCTCCCGCGTCCCCCTCCCGCCTCCCCCTTTCTTCCTCCGCTCGGGTACGTTGCTGCTGCTTCGCGGGCTAGGTGCTGCTGCCGTCGCGTCGCCGCCATCAGCTGACGTTGCTGCGAACGCCGAGGTCAGCTCGGCAATTCCCTCGCGCGGATCGCGAACCATGGGGGGGGTTCATCTGCGGTCCCAGCGGTGGCGCGCATGCGTTTGTCTGCATTCCCGTGACCGCGGGGGCTTCTAAACAAGGTCCACCAGGGAGCAGAAGGAACGCAACTGCGGCCCAATCGGTGTATGAAGTTTCGGAACGCCAGGACTTTGCGAACGTGCCAGGCCAGACGACCCACCAAACTTTTGCACGCCGATCAGGCCACAGGAAGTCAGACGGTGACCCCCCAGACCCTTCTGGGGCCGAGGAGGCTCGGGGCCTCGGCGGCGGCACCGCGTTGCGCAAGAGCGGGGCTCGACGCGGAGGCTTCCGGCTGCCGAGGCAAAAGGAGTCTCGAGCGGGGCGGGGCGGGGCGCCGACGGAGGGAGGCGGGGACCAGGCGGGGTCATGCTGCGCCGCCCCCCGCCGCTTTTGCCCCACGGCAGGCCGGTTTCTGAAGGTGTCTGAACAGTTGCGGCCCATGGCCGTGCCTGTCCACACGTTCCTTGGACGTGGGGCGCGGGATTCGTGCCTTGTGTCGGCAAGTGTGCCAACGCTGTTCAGGCCAGCGCAATCCCGAAGGCATTGCCCCGAATAGGTCGACGTATAAATGCATGCCTCCCGTAGCATATTACCTAACAGCGAAGACTGATAGGTTTCTAGTGGTGTCAAAAGAGAGCATCATGACTCCTCAGGGGGGTCGGGGCGGGACCCGGGGCGGCTGCCGTCGAAGCCCAAATCGCTTGGGACATCCTCGCAAAATCGCTCTTGGCGCTGCTAGAACTCCATTCCCGGCGTACATTTTGGATGCCCGGAGCCAACTATAGGCCACTTCGTGGTCTTCAAGTTCCCAGAACTCCATTCCCGGCGTACATTTTGGATGCCCGGAGCCAACTGTAGGCCATTTCGTGGTCTTCGAGTTCCCAGAATTCCATTCCGGGGCCACATTTTGGATGCCCGGAGCCAACTGTAGGCCACTTCGTGGTCTTCGAGTTTCCAGAACTCCATTCCCGGGCCACATTTTGGGTGCCTGGAGCCAACTGTAGGCCACTTCGAGGTCTTCGAGTTCCCAGAACTCCATTCCTGGGCATGATTTTGAATGTCCGGAGCCAACTGCAGGCCACTTCGTGTTCTTCGAGTTCCCAGAACTCCATTCCCGGGCCACATTTTGAATGCTGAGGCAGGCTGAGGCTGAGGCTGAGGCAGGCTGAGGCTGAGGCAACGAGGCTGAAGGCAGACTGAGGCTCAGGCTGAAGCAGGCTGAGGCTGAGGCTGAGGCTGAAGCAGGCTGATGCTGAGGCAGGCTGAGGCTGAGGCTCAGGCTGATGCAGGCTGAGGCTGAGGCAGGCTGAGGCTGAGGCCGAGGCTGAAGGCAGACTGAGGCCGAGGCTGAAGCAGGCTGAGGCTGAGGCTGAGGCAGGCTGAGGCTGAGGCTGAGGCAGGCTGATGCTGAGGCAGGCTGAGGCTGAGGCTGATGCAGGCTGAGGCTGAGGCAGGCTGAGGCTGAGGCCGAGGCTGAAGGCAGACTGAGGCTGAGGCTGAAGCAGGCTGAGGCTGAGGCTGAGGCAGGCTGAGGCTGAGGCTGAGGCAGGCTGAGGCTGAGGCAGGCTGAGGCTGAGGCTGAGGCTGATGCAGGCTGAGGCTGAGGCAGGCTGAGGCTGAGGCCGAGGCTGAAGGCAGACTGAGGCTGAGGCTGAAGCAGGCTGAGGCTGAGGCAGGCTGAGGCTGAGGCTGAAGGCAGACTGAGGCTGAGGCTGAAGCAGGCTGAGGCTGAGGCTGAGGCTGAGGCAGGCTGATGCTGAGGCAGGCTGAGGCTGAGGCTGAGGCTGATGCAGGCTGAGGCTGAGGCAGGCTGAGGCTGAGGCCGAGGCTGAAGGCAGACTGAGGCTGAGGCTGAAGCAGGCTGAGGCTGAGGCTGAGGCAGGCTGAGGCTGAGGCTGAGGCAGGCTGAGGCTGAGGCAGGCTGAGGCTGAGGCTGAGGCTGATGCAGGCTGAGGCTGAGGCAGGCTGAGGCTGAGGCCGAGGCTGAAGGCAGACTGAGGCTGAGGCTGAAGCAGGCTGAGGCTGAGGCTGAGGCAGGCTGAGGCTGAGGCTGAGGCAGGCTGAGGCTGAGGCTGTGACTGCGACTGCCGTTGCCACTGCGACTTTCATCGCGAATGCGACTGCGACTGCGAGAACAGCAGAATTCTACAACTGGATTCTCATGTGAATCTTAAGGGGAATGCTTCCAGATATGCTCCTACACATCGCTGTTAGGTTGCTTTGCCGGGATAATTTTCCTTGCAACGCGTTCTTGTGTATGGAGCGCTCATAGGGATAATCGCCTCGCGTGAAGAAGGGGCTGGGTACGTCTCATTTTTTTTTCTCTCTCTCTCTCTCTCTCTCTTCATATCTCTCTATACCCCCTGTGGTGTTGGGTCCTCGTTTTGAAGAGACAGCGCCCCGCGTTCTCCTTCCGCTTCCTCCCTCCTCCTATCCCTGCCTCTGCCCTCCGCATGCCCACCATTTCGGCACACCCCTCACGCGTTTCGTGGCCTCATAGGGAGCTCCACCGAAGGCTCCAGTGGAAGGGTTCGCATGGCACCACCGCGCCCAATCCGGTACACCCCTCACACGGTTCGTGGCCCCATAGGGAGCTCAATCGAAGGCTCCAGTGGGAGGGTTAGCATGGCACCACCGCATCCAATCCGGCACACCCCTCACACGTGTCGTTGCCCCACAGGGAGCTCCACCGAAGGCTCCAGTGGGAGGGTTCGCATGGCACTACCGCACCCATTTCGGCACACCCGTCACACGCTTCGTGGCTCCATAGGGAGCTCCACCGAAGGCTCCAGTGGGAGGGTTTGCATGGCACCACAGCGCCCAATTCGGGACACCCCTCACACGTTTCGTGGCCCCATAGGGAGCTCCACCGAAGGCTCCAGTGGGAGTGTCTGCATGGCACCACCGCGCCCACTTCGGCACACCCTTCACACGTTTCGTGGCCCCACAGGGAGCTCCATCGAAGGCTCCAGTGGGAGGGTTCGCACGACACCACCGTACCCAAGCCGGCACACCCTTCACACGTTTCGTGGCCCCATAGGAAGCTCCACCGAAGG